ATCTTTGTTTAAGAAGAAACTTCACGATTTCCGAGCTTATAGCGACAAAGTAAACTATGTTTTCGAGGGGGCCAAATTTCCGAAGGGGAGGCCATATTTCCTAGGAAATATGGCCCCCAGGGGGGCCAAATTTCCTAGGAAATTTGGCCTGGGGGGCCAAATTTTGGGGGGGCCAAATTTCCTGGGACACCGGTAGTGTTCTTGTGGCCCTGTATAAACTGAATAAATGAAATCATTTATATAAAAAGTTTAGAAAATAAACGTTTAAACATGTTATGCATGCATTTTAATAGTGTCATTTATATCCTTTCTCATACGAAATTTCGTGTCTTCTGCTCCATTTTCGTTGCGGATGGAATTTGAAGTTTTATTTCTAAGCCATTCACCTGCATAGACTAAATGAACAATGTTCGTATCGGAAACCCTTTTTCAAATTCTCTCTTAATATTTACCCTGGTGCTATTTTGTAATATGTTTTCCTAACCCCTTAATTCAGTAAATTAATCTAGGGCCTATTAGGTAACGAATATTTCTGAAATAATCGCATACAGACTTAATTGTAAAGCCAACGGATCGCAGTATTAGACGACGCAATTTCCTACGTCTTTTACATTGTCAATTTTGAACCTAACAGAAAGCATCTGCATGGCAGATAACTAGCTCTGTTTGTCTTACAGGATTTTAGTTCAAAACTGTACGCCATGTTTGATGAAAAGGATGTAGGATACGTTCAAGTACAAGAGGTCGTCGGATCACTAAGACTGTTATCTCAGTAAGTAATTAATCTTTGAAAATAGTCGAGAAAATTATGAACATAATTTTTAAGGTATTCAATTAAGCTACGGTATGTAGTTCAGTGGTTAGCAATTAAAGTGAACTCATGCAATTAGCCTTTCTCACACTGCCATTTTTGGGTGGCATTTCAGACGAAGTCCGCGAGATAAGTCCACACAACAGCGACTTTTTATAATTTTTTGGACGAATTATGGTAAATTTGCTTTGTAAATGGTTAGTTTATTTGGAAAAATTGCTTTTCACATTGTTTTAATTGTCTGCGTTGGTTAACGAGAATTAGATGCAAGTCGGATATTCGTCATCGTGAGAAAGGGTAGTTCGAGATTTCTCTTATTACGTTTTAATTTTGTAGCGCTTTGCATTGTGGTTATAGTGGTATCACTGATAAAGATAGCGGCCTCGAATGAAAATATTGAATGTTTTCGCGAACATTTTGCTGTTGGCTATCGCGCACCTGGCCCTAGCTTTTTTTAAAAGTTCTTGCACGGGTCAGGACAAAAGAAAGCCATCTTGAATATCATTGATACCACTATAACCACAATGCAAAGCGCTACAAAAACGTAAAGGGGAATCTCGAATTGATTATGTTAACAGTTTAAATAAAATAAAATAAAGAGTGGCACGGGAAAACTGTCTAATGATTTTTGCTCTTGATGAAAATAATTACATGGTAGTGCTATAATTAGCATTTCCCACGGTTACAAACCGTTGTTGGACTCTAAACGGGAGAAAGCTTTGAACGAAATAAACAATTCGATCGACAAGTCAATTTTGCGCATGTTTTTCTATGGAGTATAGTAATCTACTAAAGAATTATATGGCTTTGGGTGAACATCTTATTCGTGTGCATGAACACTTTAGTTATAATTTAAGTGACCGTGAACTGACAAACATTGTTATGAAAAATGCTTCCCCTTTTACCATAATACTCATAATAAAGCAATACAAACCTTAGCCGGAATGCTGTTATATTCAGGATAAAATGAGTTATACTCATGTTGTTTCTTCCACTGCAATATTTCAGGCGTACAAAGACAAGTAGTGGGAAAGGGAATACAAAATCATTAAAATGGTTTAGCAGCACCTTGGAAGATTTAGCTGACGCTAATGGTAATATTTCTGATGAGAAATTTAAAGACCAGATGCGACAACCTCAGGTACATAATATAGTCGTAGCTGCATGTACAGTTTCAAAACACTCAATTTGAATTAGTATCAGTATCAGTGAATGAGTACTGATAACTCATTTATATTAGAGGGGTCCAGTTCTTTCTTTCACTACCACCATTTCATTGGTTAACTATTGGGTAGTTTAATTAAACGCATCTGATTGGTTAATAGGTCGGATGGCCTGCGTCCCGATATTGTTCACTTTCATTTAGCATGTCTTGGATCTGAATTATTTTTACGGGAGCTAACACTTTCAAGCACGCTGAGTTCAAATCCGAGAAGCTCCCGCTCCGTAGACCCGCGGTTTTCTAACAAACTGCCATTTTATCTTCACTAAAAGTCACGACATATTTTTTCATTGTTCAATTAATGACACGGATCGATGACGACACACGATTATGTCACTCAAAAGGACCAATTTCTATTAACCGTCAGTCTTCCTTTTAACAAAAGACCGTTTTGGTCGAATCATTTTGAATTATGTAATATTATGCGCATGTTGGACGTAAACAACATATATATACCTTATAATAGTTTTGTTTGTGGACATACCACGTAAATTTATTACTGCAGTAATAAATTTACGTGGTGTTTCTACAAACAAAACTATTATATGTTTTATCGCCATGCAAACATACAAAGAACTTATAACATATAGGCCTACCTTGTCTACAACTTTGAGAAGGTACAGATAACGCTTTCTAAAATCATCAGTTCTAGCGATATCTCTATAAAATCACAAGGAAGTTAATGCTAAGTCTTTTAGCTATGTCACTGGCCTGAAAAATAACTCTTTTAACGCGATCAAGGTATTTAAATAGTACGTAACGCGAAGCCAACGTAACGGCAAAGACAACGCTAAAATGACATATTGTCGATGGGTTGCTGGTAGAAGACTTACGACAGAAACAATCTTAAATAACCTTAAATTAGAAAAGTAAATGTTCACATCAAAGAAAAATAGATCAGTGCCAAAGTATAAAATCTGCTCTGTATAAACTTAGTATACGATGAAGTGGAGAAATGTGTGCATGAGCTGTTTATTTGGTGATTTCAACGTAGGCCTATGTGGAAGCCTAAATCTTTCCAATAATATTCGCTTATCGCACAGAATAACACCAACTGATATAATAGTTCAAATCAATGATAAGTTACAGTACCTCTTGAATTACGTCTCAGAAACTGTGTTGGAAATTTAAATGCTGCATGATCCATTACACACAATTCCGTTTTATATCTTTGTATAAAACAGTTTGATCGCATATAAGGAATTATTTCTCATCCCAGAGACATAGCCCAAAGACTTATAACATTAACATCCTTGTGATTTTATAGAGATAGAGCGAGAACTGAGGATTTTTAGAAAGCTATCGGTACCTTCCCAAAGTCGTATAGACATGCAGGATACGTCCAACGCGCTTAAAATTACGTAACTCAAAATGATCTAAGCAAAACGATCTTTTGTTAGATGTAGAGACTGATTCATATAGGAATTAGCCATTTTGAGTCATGCAAGCGTGTGTCTTTATCCATCCGTGTCGTTAATTGAACAATGATAAAATTTGTCGTGCAATTAGTGAAGATAAAAGAGCAGTTTGTGAGAAAACTGCGGGTCTACGGAGCGGGAACTTTCGGATTTGAACTCAGCATGTTCGAAAGTGTTAGTTCACGTAAAAATATTCAGATCCAAGACTGACATGCCAAATGAAAATCGTTTTCTAGGCACTTTTTGAGGTCACAGCAAACGGCGTATAATGGTAAAGGTAGTGGAGTCAAAATCTGAACCTCTCTACTATTCAAGGGTGCATGATCATGCATTTTCTACTGATTTGGTGGCGTACCGTCCATTATTTGTTATGACTTTCAAGTGTTGGCTTTTATTCCCCCTACTTCGAAATAACATGCTGATTATCTGAACTTAATAAAACATTTCCACACCTAGAAAAATGTTAATCGGACCCTGAATTTGCCTATTCAAATCATTATCCAGAATGGTTTCAATAGGATTGACGATTCTGAAATTACATTTCTTTTTATTGGGATCTGTTAGATTAAAAAGTTATTCATACGTACATGTTTTATTCGTTGTTTAGTTTATGGAAAATATTTTCAAATTGATGGATGTCAACAATGATGGTGAAATCAGCTTAAATCAGATTGTAGCCGCCATGGACAGAATTGAATGGTAAGAAGTTACACTAGAAGTTACATATGAAAGAAACGCTAGTTTATTTACTCCACCTCATGCATATTTTGTAGTAGTTCACTCCATGTTGTTCTCAGAGGCGGCGCCAGGCATTCTCCAATTAAGCCAAAATTTGATATTCACGATCAATTATTTATATGTAAATGTATCAGCAAGTATTAACCCGGGCCCCCCTTAAAAGGAAAAACGCTTTTGAAATCCTTACAAAATAATCTTTTCAATCGGGGGTTGAATGCCGTTTATGTTTGAAAGGCTTTACCCCTCCCACAGCGCGACGAGTAATCCCCCCCCCCCATGTGCAAGTTTGCTATAGTTGTTCTCCATTATTCATCAGCTCATTTCATACTTATAACTGTAATGGTTATATTAAGATAATTTCTCTTCCGCTGTAGTTCTACAACAGATTCCAGATGGTACGAATGGATTGAAGAGAAGTTCTCGGTTGACAGTAATGAGTCACGATTGATTACTCTTGAGCAATTTAAGAAAGGGCTTCACATTGAAAAGGTGAGCTGATTTCTAGTTTGTTTTGGAGAAGTTAATTTTGTCATACTGTATGGTTCCATAAAGCATTAAAATTGGATTTGCTGAAAGGCTTCTTACCTAAATGCGTAAGAACGTCGATTAACGCCGACGATTTCATAATTAATATATGTACATCATAGCGATGCTCAATACACGAGTTTAAAGGCAAAAAAAATCATATTCTTTTGCTATCTAGCAAATATATACCAACTGCATGCATAGAATATACAAAACTGAACTGTTCTTTGATTTTGTCTTTCATGAATGACATTCCAATGTTACTTAACTTACAGCTAAAGTTTATTTCTTTATTTTTTTCAGAGTTTCTTTGCTGAACGATTTTTCTCGTTATTCAAGACGGACTCCATTAGCGAAGCTAATGCCATTTCTATGAAAGATCTTTGTCAAGGTTTAGAGTTGTTAACAAATGGAAGTCAAATTGAGAAATTGCAGTTTCTATTTAAAGTCTATGATATCGATGGTGAGTCATTTCTCATTCTGCCTGATTTGTTCGGTAGAATTAATTGCGAATGAGAACCGTACACACGAAAAAAGCTGTGTTAATCAGCCAATCAGCGTAAGCCAAATTAGGTCAAGGCTGATAATGAAAACACAGCTAAAATTGAATACTCTTCAAAGCTGACATGATTAGTTTTAAGTAACAAGACTTGCGAAGGGAAACCGTTGCTCGCCTTCCACTCTTGTCCATGCACCAATACCATGCCAACTATGTTTCTAAAACTGCCAAGAAAATCTGCTTGCGAAACACACGAGTGCCAGAATGATGTGGTTAGCGCGCTGCCCGTTACGGCATTAAGCCTGTTATTGCAAGTCGAAGGCAGGGACTAAATTGGTTTGATAACTTTCCCCTTGAAAAGTTCATGTGTAGTTTGGTTGGCACTACCTTGTGCTTCTCCAGATTCTGCATGCTCCCTAAACCCTTAGGCATTAATCTTAAGAATCGCAGACCTCGTAAATCCTGTTGTAAAACCAGGGGCGCCGGAGCCACGGGGGCAACTGCCCCCGTTGCCGAAACATTGCGGGGGCGGCACCAGAACTGCGCTTCGAAATTTGTGCGCTATACACATGAATTGGAATTTATAATTTGTTTTAAGCAATGTTCAAGCAATCTTTGCTTAATTTTAACCAGTTGTAGTAAAATTAATGCCAGAGGCCGCGGAATCACTTTTGTATAATTATGATCAAAAGCAAACGATTTTATGTCGTTCGCTAGCCGGACGAAAATTTTTGGCCTTTACAGAGTCTTTACTACTGCAAAAAGGGCACTTTCTTTGTAGCCCCCCAAAAAGGCATTTTTCACTTTTAAAAAAGTGAGGAGGCACATGCCCCCATTGCCCCCCCCCGGTTCCGCGCCCCCTGATTAATGCTAAATCAGGCAATATACGTCCGTTTACTGATTTTATTTTGCGCCCTTAACATGGTGCAACAAATAAAATTGTTCAAAATTAATGTCAAAGTTTGCCGACCCACAATAGCCATAAGTACTCGGGTATCCATACAATAAAGTTTTAACAAATATTGCCGCCCAGAGAAATGATGGCTGAGAAGCAGGTGCTCTTTTGAAATGGCTGCCCCCGCCGCTTCACATTGCTTCCGGCGCCCCTGTGTAAAACTTGTCAAGGCTTGCCGTCCACCGCCAAGTAGGAAAAACTAAACTAAACTATGCTTTCAAGAAGGGAGTTATATCGCCGTTCAAATCTGCAATTAACTTACAATATCCTGGAATTTATCATTATCATTCATTACCTCTATTATATAGGTAATGGTGAACTTGATAGGGACGAAATGCGAACCATTTTGGAATCATGTGTAGAAGAAAGCTCATTAAGTATGGATCAACAGCAGCTGGAAGAATTGACCGATATATTGTTTGAAGAATCGGACACGGAACAGAAAGGATTCATTACATTTGATGAGTTGCAGAGTTTCTTGGACAAATTTCCAGGAATTGCTGAAAACTTGACAATCAGGTATATAATTTATGCAAAACGATAATAAAGATGAATCAGTTAAGAAACGATAATTTTACGCATATCTTTCAGAACACAGTTCATTCTCATTATCTTTCTATTTTTTAGTGCTGGTAAATGGTTAATACCACCTAATAAATCAAAGAAAAACACCATCTCTAGTTACATTCCTAAGTATTTGACTTGGAATTACATCAGTAACAATCCAGATCGAGTTGGTTTCATCTTTTTCTATCTCCTGATTAACGCAGCTCTAATGATATGGGTTGGTATAATACGAGCTCCGATGGGTGTCTATGTTGTCCTGGCCAGGATTCACGGAATGTGCTTGAACCTCAATTGTACATTTGTTCTTGTACTGATGTTGAAAATGTGCTTAACGTGGGTGAGAACAACATGGTTTAGAAAAATTCTACCTATCGACGACCATATAATGTTCCATAAACTTGTTGGATTCTTTATTGCTTATCTTAGTTTTGGACACACAGTTGGCCATATTGGTTCTTACAGTAAGTTATCTTATGTCTTCCAAACGCCTTATGGGAAACACCCGTGAAGTTTTCTTGTCCATTATGAGATTATATCATGCAATGTTGGTGGAAGTGCTAGAGAATATCGTGCCAGTATGCATAAAAGGCATAGGACCAACTGTGATAAACTGCTCTGGGGCGGGGACAGGGGCGTAACCTTTCAATATTTTCATCTATGACATGAAATATAGCATAAAATTTGTATAGAATGCATGAATAGCATTTATCAGATCCTAAAAATAGAAAAACCTTCTGGGAGACCATGTCCCAGGCCGGTCAGACGATTAGATTCTGGTATAGTCAAGGCTTCATGCATTGACAAATTCAATTATTAGACACCTGTACATGTATATTGCAGGAGAAAACCGCTGGACATGGAGGTGAAAGGCACTTACTTTGACTACCATATAATACCCAAATAGTCTTGATGCATGAAAAATATTTCTGTTCTTTCAATTATAAGCGATTCATAACAAAACATCAATTTATTTCTCATGTTAGTTGCAATTCCTGGAATGAAAGAAGACGGAACTACTGTAGCAGTTTGGGAGTATTTATTCACCACAAGAGGAGGACAGGGCTGGTTCAATTCATCCGCCGGGATCACAGGAGTAATTTTAACTCTTATTCTGATCATCATGATTATTTGCTCTCAACCATTCGTTCGAAAGAAGGGATATTTCGAGGTGAATATATATATTTAATATATACAATTTCGTACATTTTTTGCAGTAAGTAGTTCGACTCCAACTAAATAAATGTCTCCGTTTTCAGCTATTTTATTGGACTCATCATTTATTTATCGCCTTCTGGGTGTTGATAATTCTTCATGCTCCAAATTTTTGGAAGTGGATTATTGTCCCTGGTGTGCTGTATATAATTGAGAGAATAATCCGTTTGCGCTGGTTCAACCTGGCAAGATATGGACCTACGTATATTGAGGAAGGCATTACCTTACCGTCCAAGGTATAACTATTTTAATAATAACTAAAAATAATTTGCCTACAAGCATTTTAAATTGTCTCACTGACAGCAATTAAAGCAAACGTCAGTTAATAAAATGTCTAAAATTACTACTATTGAGAACGATTTCGAATAACCAAGCGCAATCTTGTTCTATTTTCAACACTTGTACATGCGACTTTTCATGGAAAGCGGAAGTTTCATGTAACTAATTTTACTTATTAATTAATTTAATTTTCATAGGTAACACATCTAGTCATCACACGACCACCCAACTTCAAATTCAAACCTGGGGATTACGTGCACATTAATATTCCAGCTATTGCACAAAACGAATGGCATCCATTTACCATCAGCAGCTCGCCAGAGCAAGATGGTGTTTTATGGGTGCATGTGAGAGGTGTTGGTACATGGACGAAGAAATTGTACGATTATTTCGAACAAGATATTATTAGAGAAGGACGACGTCGTTCTGTAAGTAATCGTGCCGCCATAAGACGAGAAAGGACTTTTAGAGCAAAAGATCAGGAAAGGTAAAATTGAAATTTTCTATTAGAGAGCTTATTCTCCACCAGGCGAATATTTCTGTACGAATCAAATCGAAACTAAACGTGACAAGTGAGGACAACATTCGTCATGAGTAAATTGAAATCGATCCTCCTCATTTTACCCGGCGAATTACCTAATAGAAAGCTGGCTTAAGGTTACAGAACACCTTTGAGTGTTAATTTTGCCTAAAAATTTTTATTGGTTTCCATGAAAGCATTAGACTAGTTCTACTACCTGACCAAGTTTGAACGAAAAATGTTCAAAACTCGCAGAGTTATTTAATAAAATACATTTCGCTGCAATAAGAAAAACACTGAAAATGTAATATTCAAATTCAATTTTCTCCCGAAGAATTTTACGGTAATTACTGATTTTCAAACGAGTTGTTCTCCTGCGGGTTTCAGCCAATTTTTCTCAAATTTTCACCGGACATAGCTAAAGACGTCAGTTTCAAAATAGTGTTCGGCTTTATTCTAATTTTGGATATTTTAATAATAAAGAGCAATTCACTCAAACAATTCAGAAATATATTGCAGTCGTCAAAGAAATCGCCATATCAGCGGAATGACGAAATAAACAAAAATTTCCGAACACCATTTTTTAGAACAACTATTTTGCTCATGTTTCGCTCGCTACTCTGGTTTAAATAAATGATTACAAAGCCCAGACTAGCGAGCGAAACATGATTGATATACCTGGTTGCAGTGAACGAACAAACTTTATAACTATTTTACTGTTTAAAAATGATATTTTCATAAATATAACTTAAAACCAGCAGGAGTACAACTCAAAAGCGTAACGGTACCGCGATTTAAGATTTTCCTGAATAATTCTTACATTATTTTATTGTTTGTTAATTTTATAACTTTACCATACTATTTTGCATGCACTGGCGAACATTTGGCGAAAATTTGATAAAAATCGGACTAATTTTGAGGGCACAGTAGCGTTTTTCCGCAAAACGCCAAAAAGGGTGTCTTGTAACCTTAAATCTTAATTTGTATGAATAGATTTAGTAGGTGTCAAAAACTTCAAAATTTACAGAAACAGCAACGGGCACATAGCTCATGTGGTTTTGAAACCTTGTAGCGTTGTGTACCATATACAACCACGACTGTTACAACTAAATGCAAACCCGCATGCATCGTTGTTCAATTTTATTGTGTTTAATAAAGAAGCATTTATAATTTGAGCGATATTGTGAACGGTTATAGTACAGTTTACATGCCTCATAACAATTTATGAAGGAGGTATGATGGAAATTTCTGTATATATTTTTCTTTTTAGATACACGGAAGAAAATCTTGGGAATGATAATGAAGGCGTTGTCTCGGATGAAAATGGTAATGGAGAAATGGAAGAAAAAGAAAATACATTAACTGCAGTGCGAGAATCTGCGCCGCAGAAACGGAAGAAGTTGAGAGTAAGTGTAGTATTTATTTGGACAGAACAAAAAAATGATTTTAAAAAATTAATGAAAAAATCATCAACCACTAATCATCAGATCAGATGTGCCTATTGCTTTCGAATTTTGATGGTATAAGCAGTATAACAATAACAATTTATTTAATCAAATTAGATATTTACATTGATATACACTATCTGCAAATAGCATTTTCTAATCAAGGCAGATAGGGGGGAAATGATTTAGCTGATAATACACTCACAGACTCGATTACTCACAGAAAAGAAATGGTAAAAACATTAGAAAATTCGAAGGATAACTATCGTAGGCCTGTTCATCAAAATATATACAAGTATTTTGTGATTATATGTATTTTGCCATTAAATTGAATTATATTGAATTAGCACTATTATTATTATTATTATTATAAATAGCACTATTATTATTATTATTATTATTATTATCATTCATTATATTGAATTAGCACTGGCGTAACAATATAAACATCCTCAACTCTCATAATAGTCAGAAGTAATTTCTTTATTTCCTGCTTAGAAGTTGATAAAATATCACTGCAACTGGTAGCAAAAATGAAATTTCGGAAAATACATTAATATTGTACGTAAGATATATCGACGTCGGATGCAAACCATTTTTTTAAAAAGTTTGCATTAATTTAACACAAAATAACAATCACTGAAGGAAAACAGAGTAGCTTTGTACGTTATCAGGGAAGCGAGTTACTTATTTTCTTCACGTTGCTCAAAATTAGAATAATTTGTAATCTCTCATACATAACCAAACAACTTCCATTTTTAGATATACGTTGACGGACCATATGGCGCTCCATCTGTGCATATATTTGAAGCAGAACATGCTGTATTGATAGCTGGCGGTATCGGTGTTACTCCGTTTGCTTCTATTCTCCAAAGTATTATGAAGAAGGTCCAAAATGCCACGATAGACTGTCCAAATTGTCAGCATAAATGGGTAGGAATGATTCCAGAAGGACTACAGAAACTAAGAAAGGTTTGTTAATGATCTACTGCATAAAAAAGATTTCTTATATAAAATTACCGAGATCAGCTTTCCGTTTTCTTCACACTATCAATTTCTGTCTTTTTAGTTTACGTTATAAATCCATGGATTTTAGAATTATCCTTTACACAGTGCACTCACATATTTACACAGTGCACTCACCAGTGTCTGTTCCGTCTATATCCATCCTCATAATATTTATATCAATCTCTTCGCGCTCACACAATCAAAGCTTGGCTTTTATCATCTTTCCTGCAATTCCCACAACCCTACACTATCGCATTATTATATTTTCCAACGTTACGGGATGTAATTTTTTCAGGAATATTTTTACAACAATTTAATCCTTTTTACGAAAGAAATCAAAATCTGCTAGCAAACTTCATCTGTTATGTGTTTTTTCCTTCAGGTTGATTTCTTTTGGATTAATCGTTGCCAACGTTCTTTTGAATGGTTTCTGAGTTTATTGAATGAACTGGAAGTGGAACAATGTTGTCAGAGGTTAACAAAGAGTTTCGTAGATATGCATATTCACATGACGTCAGCTCTAAACAAAAACGATATGAAAGGCATAGGACTTCAGCTAGCACTCGATCTGATCCATGCGAAGAATTCTGTTGACATGATCACAGGGTTAAGAACGAAGACCTCGCCAGGGAGACCAAACTGGGATAAGGTATGCATCATTGCATCAACCATATCTTATACAACATCATATACAATCATTATCGCATAATATTCCATAAACTGCTTAAAAAAACTCAGCTTGTTAAACTCATTAAAAATTCATGACGAAAAGTAAAAACAAATCAATGTTTAATGAGGCGTTTTATTCATTATTATATACAAAATTCTCCTGATTTGCATACACTTTTTCCTGGATTTTCTCAGCTAAAAATCATTTCTTTTTGAACATTTTCATAAAACACAACCGGCCTCTTGGTGTATCTGATACAATACGGCCACTCATGCGGTATATGTGACATATCGCATTGTAGTCCCGATACACTTTATATAGACACAAAGATACAATGTAAAGAGACTATAAAGTGTAGTCCCGATACACTTTTTAGACAATGTAGCTGCTGCCCATATCAGCTCCCCAAATGGACAATGTCTTCATATCCATGTACTGTAATGCAACGTTACGTAACAGGGCATGATTCACAGGACAATCATTTTCCCACTACTTCATAGAAACCACGATCAACCTAAACTGCATCATAAGTACTATTTAAAACACGAGTAGGAGTGTTTTATCAGATATAAAACGCGAGGCGCAATACCTTAAAATACGACTAAAAAAGAATACTAATTAGGAAGAACAATTATATAATCATACTAATTAGGATGCACAGTTATATAAAGAATACTAATGAATATGAGTTTAATCAGATATAAATTCACTCCTGCACGTGACATATTATGGCTGACATGATTTGCCACAAGGTTTATGAATTATTAATGAGTATTTTAAAGATGATGTCCACTCCGTTCTGCGCATCGGTTCTGCTCATAACAGAGGGGGACCCCCAGATATAAACATAGTCCAAATTTTGCATCTTTCGAACTTTTTTGAATTGAAATATACAGTTTATATTCATTTACAAGTATAGCGAACCAGAAAAGTGTTAGATATTCAGTTAGTATATCATATTTTACAAATATAGCAGTTCAAAATGTAAACAAAGTTCGCGCATGTGCACAGGAGTGGACATCATCTTTAAGTGTATTACGAAAACGAAATTACAGTACCCAGACGACTTAGTGCACATTTAAAATTTGAGAATTAAACTGACGGATTAAACAGATCAGTAAGGACGTTGATAGATCAAACCAACCGCAATATAGAATGAAACCGACGTAGTGCTATACTTTAATTTTTATGTTTAATTTAAAAAATGTAATATTGGCATAATCCATCACAAGCCACATGTCAATGTATGTCGAAAACAATGAGCTTAAGCAGTCCTTGATTGTACTTCAATAGAATTCCGCTTATATAATCCACTTTTCATTGCTGTAGGTATTTGAAAATATTTCAAAAGAAAAACGAGGTAAAGTGACGGTGTTCTTCTGTGGGGCTCCAGTGATGGGCAAAGTGATCAAAGTTTACTGCAGAAAATATGGATTTGGATTCCGCAAAGAAAATTTCTGATTACGAAATTTCTTCATACAGAACTTCAATTAAAAATTAATCCTGATCTTATTTCTAGTATATTAATTTTATGATGTAAACTTATCTTTGCTTTGTGCTATTTGTATATAGGTGAAATAATTTTAAATTTTATAATATTATTTAATTTAATTTTTCCCCTTTTTTAATTTGATTTGTCACAATACATATACAGACAAACACGATTGATTACTACAACTTAAAAATACAACATTGGTGTGACTGGAGAGAGGAAAGCAACCAGACTCTGATATTAACTGTTTGAAAGAATTTAAGAAACTCCTGCGACTTGCTAGCCGCACAAAATTCGATCAAATTATTGTTTTGGGTGCATGATTTTAATCTTCCTATAAGATTATTATAATAACTGGTCAACGGGAACTGCGACGACTGGAAATAGTATTCACAATTATTTCACGAAGATCGTCAAGGACTATTATTTGTGGCAGTTAGTTGTCTTTCCAACGAGAGAGGAGAATATTATTTATCTGGGCATAAATTGGACGCTCCTGTTGAAACACGAGATCTTGGCGTCGTTGTTACAAGAGATTTATCATGGAGGGCACACATTGAACAGATGTGCGCTAAGGCAAACAAAACTCTAGGCCTAGTAAAACGCGTCTCCAAAGACTTCCACGACCGTTCCATTAGACTGCTCCTATACGTGTCATTAGTTAGACCTCTACTAGAGTACGCGAGTAGTCTATGTTCACCTTACACAGTAAAGCACAAGAAACTTATCGAAAATATACAGCGTCGTGCCACAAAGTTTATTTTGGACTACCCAAGCAACATAAACTATACGGAAAGATTAGCCATGCTGAACATACTCCCATTGGAACATCGCAGAGAAACAATAGATCTAATTCTCCTTTTTAAGTCTAAGACTGGTCTCATTAACGCTAACCTCCAGAACTTATTACAACCAGCTTCGTCTGGCTATGCTACGCGAAACTTTGATGAGGCAAATTACCGCTTTTATTCATCCCATCGCCAAAATTACTTTATAAATTCATATTTCCCCAGGACAGTTAAGATATGTAATAGGCTCCCTGATTCTATAAAACATGCATCCAGTCTCACCGAATTAAAAAACCTCCTTCTTCGTCATTACAGAAATAAGCTAGCTTTGTATTCCAGGTGATCTTGATACGCGGAAAAGTACTGGCACTAGTTGTCAAATAGAAATCCATTTTATGATTAAAACAACTGAATATCTCCTGTAATATACTTTATTTCGATTCCATATTTTTGTCAGAGCTATAGTTCTCATAACCAAACACAATTACAAAATTTCAACTAGTTTCATAAAGAATAATGAAAGATATAATTGACTGAATACATCAAAATGGATTTCTATTCGGACAACCCTTTCTGAGCGCTGATTGGCTAAAATACGAACACGAGATCACCTGGTTGTCTACCATAAACTACTCTTGTGTATTGTGTTCGCAAGGTATTTTATATTCATATTGTATATTTATATTTATATTGTATAGTATATAAAGGGGAGGATTGTCAATTGGGACGTTAGTCCTGTTTTCCTCTCCTGTCACTCCGTTTTTGTGTCATCGTTAGTTTAGGTGTTGCATGCAAGTCCTGTATTTATTTCTAATTTGTAATGTAATGTGACATATTTCATTAAACTACACTAAACTAAACAAAACTAATCGTAGTTGCATATCTTAAGGGTTATCTCATTGTGGTCGGAGGGCTCATCCTCTTCCCCTTAAACCTTTCTTACCATAATTCCATTACAAAGCTGAGAAATACGCTCTTAATTCAAAACTCTTAAACTATTTTGCGCGTTGGACGTTAGTAAATGTGTTCCTGTACAAAATGGATGGATTTTACATCACGAGTTAAGTAACATCCTTGAAGAACAATTACCCGTGTTTGGGTTATAGTGGTAGTTTAAGCCTGAATCATAACGCGATAAGGCCAAGACTGGTACGTCCTTTAAGGGATGCTGAGTAAACGTATACAATGTATCGGTTTTCGACCGCTGTAACTTTTTGTTTGCCAAGCTAGCTACAGTTTCATACAGTATTGCGATGCAATATTAAGTTAATACGATTTTTGTGCTGCTGCAGGACTATATGGATGTAAGGCATTGATAACAATCGTGCATGTACTAACCTCCAGTTTCAATTTCCCACATTACAACTGCAAAGGACCACCTTAAAAACGAAAGTATACAATATGTCAATCACACGAAAAATTAATGCAGTGGCGTGGTGGACTGGTGGCTTCCAAATCTCAACGAAGGTCAGTGTTGAATTTGACGCCCTACAAAGTTATTTTGACACTGCCCCTCATTAGATTTGGCTTTTGGGCCTCCCACAACTAGGGGGATCCGGGGGCATATATGTCGAAATTTCATGTTGAAATTTGAAGGCTGAAAATGTCATTCCCTGCATTCTGGCGTCGAATTTCTAACAAAAATGTCTTGTAACGAAACCATATTTTAAACAAAAACCATAAACAAACAACAAAAATGTATTACGGTCATGTCACATGTCATTTAGGAAAATTAATTTAGAAACTTAAATCTTAGGATTAAATACTAATCCCTTCTTGGTGATTTTGGCGCCCCACTGCATTTCGTCACCCCCCTTGAAACCGTCGCTGAGGGATAATAGAGAGTTTGAGCAAGAGAACGAAGTCGGACGACGTGGTTGACAAATTTTGCCTGTCTTGCACATTATCTTGCGCATTCTGAGTTTAGGGTCAGGGATGAAGACAGATTAGAGATACATGTCTAGCTGTTTATGAATGCTGACTCAAATCCTTACCCTGATCAGGATAAAACAGCGGGACATGAATCCCTATCCCGTCTTCGTTCTTCTGCCTTCGCTCAGAACGAATATTTTGGCAAAATTCGTCGTGAACTTCGTATTGCACGAAGGCAGGAAGAACAAAGACGGGATATAGTTTCATGTCTCGCTGCTTTGTCAGGGTCAGGGCAAGAATTGGGGTCAGTATTCATAAACAGCAACACATGGGAAGACACGTTGAGCAACCACCACTGACCAGGGACGTCCAACTCAGTATGCGCAAGATAATGTGCAGACGGGAAAAATTGTCAAGTACGCCTCGTCTTCGTTGTCTTGCTCAAACTCTCTACTGGCCCGTACGCGCCACACCCAAACTGAAGCAATATTCAAAACAGTAAATTAGAGGACAACTGAAAATTTCAATCACTTAATTAAAGCATGAATTGAGGCATGACTGAATTATTATTCTTGTTCTTTGAAGACGAGTAACATTGGAATTCTTTAAACGGATGAAATGTTCAGGCGACGTAGTCAGATAAGAAATAGCCTACGCAACACTCTCAAGTGACAGTTTAATATAATTTAATTTTTGTCTAACAGTTTTATACAAATTAGGTTTAAATTATCAAATTGATCAAGCGTTTAACTTACTGATTTACTAAATACTTAACTTATCCAACAATAATTTATTAAATATTTAACTTACACATCGCTTTTCGTGGTGTAAAATCCATCATTTAATGATTCTATGGCCAGCCATCAAGTCGGCAAGTTTCCCTGGAAATAGCAAATAATTATATAATAATAACAATAATTAAACACAAAACTCAAAAAGGTAAAACTTTATTTACTTTGGGGTTGTGCGTACGTACTAAAACCAGGTATATATCTATGAAAATCTATGACTATAATGGCTATCAATTAACAATTCCAGCTTTAAAAGGTGGAATTGTACAGAGTTGAAATTTAAAATACATGGTAAAACTAATACATATAGTAATATACGGTATATTAAAACTAAAATTTATATTACAATTAAAATGAATCATTATATGATACGATACTAGAAGGAATAAAACTTTTACTAAATCTTGTAGTCTTACGATTAATTAAGTTAATATGCTGATCATTACGTAGATTGTAAGTACGTAAGTCCTCGCGTTTATTAGGGATAAGTTCATTCAATTTATTTTCCGGGTTGAGAAGTTTCTTAAAATAGGATTTACATTTTATTTGTAATTTGTAATTTGTAAAAAAATGTAATG